TTCCACAATACTTGAATTGTTTCTTTCTGGCTGCTTGCAATATTCTCTCCTTGATCTAGGAACTCTGGAATTTGACTACAATATTCCTGGGAGTTTTCTTTTAGGGATCTCTTTCAGGAGGTGATTGGTGGATTCTTTCAATTTCTATGTTACCCTCTGGTACTAGAATATCAGGGCAGTTTTCCTTGATAATTTCTTGAAAGATGATGTCTAAGCTCTTTTTTTGTTCATGGATTTCAGAGAGTCAAACAACTTTTAAATTATGTCTCGGATCTATTTTCCAGGTCAGTTGTTTTTCTAATGAGATATTTCACATTGTCTCCTATTTTTTCTTTTCTTTTTGGTTTTGTTTTACAATATCTTGATTTCTTATAAAGTCACTAGCTTCCATTTGCTCCATTCAAATTTTTAAGAAACTATTTTCTGTTTTTTTAAATTAACTTATTTTGAACTATCAACAATCACTTCCATAAGCTTTTTAGTTTTAAATTTTTCCCTCTCTCTCCCGACCTCCCTCTCCAAGACAGTGCACAATGTGATATAGGCTATACATATACATTCCTATTAAACATATTTTCACATTACTGATGTTGTAAGTAAGAATTAGAACCAATAGGAAACAAAACACAATAGAAGAAAAAAAAAAGCAAATAGTACGCTTTGATCTGCATTCAAACTCCATAGTTATTTCTTTGGATGTAGATAGCATTTTCCATCATGAGGCCTTTGGAAATGTCTTAGATCCTTGTATTGCTGAGAAGCGTTAAGTCTATCAATATTAGTCATCGCATAATGGGGCTATTGCTGTGTACAACATTCTCTTGGTTCTGCTCACTTCGCTCAGCATCACACCATACAATTCTTTCCAGGTTTTTCTGAAGTCAGCCTATTCATCATTTCTTACAGCACAATAGTATTCTATCACATTCATATCCCACAACTTCTTCAGCCATTCCCCAATTGATGGGCATCCTCTCAATTTCTAATTCCTTGCCACCAAAAAAGAGCTGCTATAAATATTTTTGTACATGTGTGTCCTTTTCCCATTTATATGATCTCTTTGGGAGGAAGTATTTTCTTCAGTGAGCTTTTGGACTTCCTTTTCCATCTGGCCAATTCTGCTTTTTAAAGCACTGTTCTCCTTGTTGGTGTTTTGGACACTTCTTTTGCCATTTGGATAAGGCTAGTTTTAAGGTGTCATTTTCTTCAGTATTTTTGGGGTCTCCTTTAGCAAGCTGTTGACTTGTTTTTCATGATTTTCTTACATCATTTTCATTTCTCTTCCCAGCTTTTCCTCTACTTCTCTTACTTGCTTCTCAAAATACTTTTTGAGCTCTTCCGTGGCCTGGGACTGATTCATATTTTACTTGGAGGCTTTGGATATAGGAGCTTTGACTTTGTTGTCTTCTTCTGATTGTATGCTTGGATCTTCTTTGTCACCAAAGTAAGATTCTATGGTTTGACTCATTGTGTGCTGCTTGCTCATGATCCTAGCCAATTACTTGAGTTTTAAACTCTTTGTTAAAGTAGGGGTTTCTTTCCAGTGTGGAGAATGTACTGTCCCAAGCTTTGGGGGTTTTCTGCAGCTGTTTTCAGAGATACTTGTAGGGACCTGTAAATTTTCAGTTCTTCCAAGGTGGTATGATAAGGACAGAGGTGTTTACTCCTTTCCTGACCTGTGTTCTGGTCTATGAGTGACCACAAGCACTATTTTCTGCCTTGGAACCATGAGGAGGGTTTTCTCTATACTGCCACCACAAGCTTCACCATTCCAGTGCTCCTCCTTGCCCCAGGACCACCACCCAGAACTGTAACCCAGATCCAAGCCCGGGCAAGCAAGAGAATCCTGCCTCAGCACCAGCAAAGAGATTCCTGCAATCCCTTTCTAATCAGCCACTTGGTTCCCCCTCCATCTGTGTTCCTAAAGCTTCAGAAACAGCCACAGCCCAAGGGCTGGGCTGGGACTGAGGCTTAGACCAAGCTTCTCCCACCACAGTCACAGACCTTTCCTACTGACCTTCTAAGCTGTCTTTGTCATTTGTGGGCTGAGAAGTCTGGAAACTGCCATAGCTGCCTGTGATTCAGTCCTCTGAGGCCTGCTCCAGGTTTGCTGAGACCTCATCTTTGCTTGTGTGCCCACACTAAACTGTAGTCCTCTGCTAGCCTGGTGCAATAGACCTTTCTAACCAACCACCCAGGTTGTATTGGGCTGGAAATTTGTTTCACTCTGTCTTTTTGTGGGTTCTGCTGCTCTAGAATTTGTTTAGAGCTATTTTTTATAGGTATTTGGAGGGCTTTGAGGGAGAGTGCATCTTTGCTCTGCTCCTGACTTTTGCAAATTTGAGGAGCCTTGAGTGAATAATTAGGAGTCTATTGCAATAATAACTCATAAAAGCATTGATGGTATAATATTCTCTTTATCCCTTCAAACCCATTGCTTTATGGACAATCAGTAAATGTTATTGATTATTATGTTTATGTGTTCCAAACACATTAAGCACTTAATCAGTGGGTCAAATAAACAAATGATGATGACTGACAAAGAAGATGCTACCTTGTACCTTGAGGAAAACTCATTCCTTTCCTTTAGACATTGTCATGCCTTAATGTGCATTGTCACAATGTATTAGCAATCACAGGAAAGATTTTGCTGCTTTTTAGCATTTACTCTAAGATTCCTGAAAATATCTACTCCAGAATCAGATATGCATCAATTTTCAAAAGATCATTCTCTGTTTCTCTGCTCTTCTTAGTGAAAAAGGATGCTAGTGCTCTTTGGGTATTGTTGTATTTTTAGCTTTTTAATCATCTCCTGATAAAGAGGAACAGTAAACAAGTATTAAGGTGTCCATAGTAACTTGAAAAAGGTGCTATCCTGGAGAGACAGAGACTCAGCACATCAGTCAACAGTTTGTAATCATCAATTTCCTCACTGAGCTGGAAACTAAAAACAATGAAAGACAGAATGCTTTAGAACTCTCTGTAGGAAGTATTTTCTACAGATTAGGGTTTAGATCCATTTATGGGGTGGGTGGAGGAAGGAGATTTCTACATTCATCTGTGCTTCTTAATGTTAGACATTTTCTCCTACTCATATAGACAACCTTATAAGAGCCATTATGACATATCTTGTATTTCACCCTAGCTTAAAGAACAGGAGAAATGAACAGATCATCAACATGATGTTATCTAAGCTATGTTTTGGCCAAATGAGCATGAAATTTTGCACATATAGACTTGGTTAGTCATAAATTACAAGGTCTGAGTGAAAGAAAAATGCACAGAATAGGAAATTGAATTTAAGAGCCTATTATGGATTGATTAGGACAGAAGTCTCTACATTACATATTTATGAATACAGTGCGATCTTAACCCCTCATCATTTTATTTGAAAGACTATTTAAAGTTAATATGGTCTGATTTCTCCTGGATTACAAAGTTTTCTTTGATCATTAGAGTATTTATTCATAAAGAACGTTATGAAGCCATCTGGGAATAAAATGTTCTCATTTGATCAATGAATAGAATTGAAACTATCAATGAACAAAATCTACATGTCCTCAGTCTTAATAAAATAAATATGCTTCATTAGGGAAACAAAAATGGAATGGTATTGAGAATATAGATAAAATATGTATGTATATTAAAAGATGCTATCAAGTGATTGTATGGCATGAAGATAAAATTGCCTGGTCAAATGGCAAACCAAGGGATGAAAGATACACAGGCAGAATGTGTTACTAGTGCCCTTCAAGTATAGGGAAGAAGACATCCAGCACAAAGGTGGTTGTACCTTCCCCATCTAAGCTCTCCCACTACCTCCCCCAAATGCATTCTGATGAACATTTCAGAGATTTTGGACAAGATTAATAATTGGCGTGAATGGCTGGATGCATTATGATCTGCATTGCTGTAGGATACTCCTAGATGTATGTGATCATTTGTCCATTTAAGATAGAATAATAACTACAAAGATGAGAAGGATTAGATGGTGAAAAAGATGATGAAGATAATGGGCAAGTAGGTGGCAAAATACATAGAGTGCTGGGCCTGGAGTCTAGTGGACCTGGGTTCAAATCTGGCCTCAGACAGTCATTGATCCTGTTTGACTCCATTTCCCCATCTGTAAAATGAGCTGTAGAAGGAAATGGCAAACCACTCCATTATCTTTGATGAGAAAATCCCAGATAGGGATCACGATGAGTTGAACACAACTTGAAAAACACATAAACAACAATAGATGATGATAGTAATAATAATAAACTAAAAGTATGCAACATTTTACAATTTATGAATCATATGATGTATCACATGAATAGGTAAGAAAACTCAGATATGTTCCCTTATGATTCAATCTGATATTTTAAAATATTTTGTCAAAATATTAAAATATATTACATTTCATTTTAAACATTTCAAAAGATTTTACTTATCCCCTATGTAATATAACAATACATATTTTTCAATACTTATGTCAGTAACCATTTACCCCCCTTACAGGAACAAACATTGGTAATGGCAGAATTTTTAAAAAGACATTTAATAGTGTCTACTATTATAATTTGTATATGAATATGCTTAATAAATCTTCATACTTAATGAACAAATGAAGAAATAATGTAAGATAATTCAAGTTAGCGTAAAATGTGTACAATATGACATTGTATTTTGTTTTTGCCTCGAATTCTACTTTGTCAAACTGATGACAGTTTTGGAAAGATAATGGACTTGTATTCAGATGATATAGTTTCAAGATCTATCCTTTCCTCTTACTGGCTTTTCAACTTTATGGAAGTCACTTAGCTTTTCTAAATCTTAGCTTTTGTCATTTGGGAAGATAATAACACCCATAGTTTTTCCCTCCTCACAGGGTTATTGTTAGGACTGTGGGCATAAAGAAGGTGGAAGTCCTTTGACAAATTGTGGAGCTCTATACAAGTATAAGGCATTACTATTTTTTTTTCACCTTGCACCACCATTTGTTTTCTGATGTGTTTCAGAAATTCCACGTATTGTATGAAAGTGTCCATTTCACTGACTGTGGGTGAAAATGACACTGGACTCTGCTACAATTCAAAGATGAAGTACTTTGAAAAAGCTGAGCTTAGCAAAAGTAAGGAAATCTCATGCCGGGACATAGAGGATTTTCTAATACCATACAGAGAGCCTGAAATCCTGTGGTATAAGGTAAGGAACAGAGAGGGTGGGGTCCTTATAATGAATTATTGTAAAATCTTATAATAAATTATTGTATCTTGTTATAAATTATAATGAATTATATAATAAATTCTAATAAATCTTATAATAAATTATTGTTGGGTTCAGAAGTATTTTTGATATTGTAAACTATTTAAAGGGACATAGTACAGTTTAGCTCCTATTCTCTTGAGAACGTGTTGTTTCAATTATTATAGGACTTCTTGTTGCTTTGAAAGGATTTAGTCAGTTTGGTTAGCTATAGGGAAGAATGAACTGGATGAAACCGAGTGTTAGCTTTCTTTTTTGAGATGATTGTTATGATTCCTTTTTAGCCTCTGTTGATTTGGTCAGAAGTGGAAAAAAAATCATCTGTATACATTTTTACCCTAGTGGGTTGTACAATAAAAGAGGAACCCTAAAATGAGAATAGCAACAATTGACCAGAAACTCTCCAATATAATTGTATGATCACTTCCATTGGCTCTTTTTCCATCATGAATCTTATTATTTCTAGTTTTCTGAACTTCTAACTGAAAAAAATGGGAGAAAAAAAAACAAAAAAACTTTTGACAAACTCCATGGAATTTATATAATTGCATTTGAATATAGTTGTTTCTTCAAAACTCAAAAATAATTTTCATAGTTGAAAATAAAAATCTTACCCCTATTTTCCCTATATGTAATTGGAACCTGGTACCAATGAAAGACCCAAACTTTCTTTAAGGTTATAGAATTATAATATATTCATTAGCTTGTTTATGCAATAAAAATTCTACTTATTGAATATAAATAGAGAACAGTAAAGTTTTCATGTAAAAAATCACTGTGGAATGCTTTATCTGTGGCTATATAATGTCTGGAAACTACAGATGCTCTCTGGAAGTAGGATATTGGACCTATGAGTAAGTTTTAACCATATGCTCTAATATATTCCCTACATGGCCAACTGGACAAAAATAGCAAGCCAAAATTATCTTACAATTATCCAATGTTCTGGTCCAAATCTTTGCTTGATTTTGGAAGGTAATATCATTATCAACCTTATGCGTTCTAGAGTCATCATTCAGAATTTCTGTAACACACATTAAAGTACTGAATTGACTTCTATTCTTTTTACTTCAGGTCAGAAATTGATCAGTAGTGCATTTCAGATGCACTAGGTAACTGCTTCCTCTCTAGTTTACGTTGCCCCCCACTTTTTATTATTGTATTATTTTAAAGCCTGGGTCATATTTCACAGAAGTCCTAGCTTCTTTTTTTCATTGTTACATTGCTACCACCTATTATAGTCCCTGGTATATGGAAGGTTTTAATAATTATTCATTCACCTCAGTGGCTTTTCCAAACTTTTTGATCCCTTCTCTGATCTCATACACCTCTCTTCTATTCCCCCATACCTTCTCAGATGAGTACTTTGCTTCAGATTTCATGGGGAAAAAAAAAATTAAAGCTATTTACCCAGAGCTCCCTCTTCTCCCCTCCTCCTCATCTCATATCACTCAGATGCCTTTTGGCAAATCTCCTTCACCCATGTTTATATGAAGAGGTGACTGTTTTTCTTTGCCATGGATAACTCCTCTATATGCACAAGTGAACACATTCCATGCTGGCTTCTCCAGCAAAGTTTCCTCTGACACTTTTCTACTTTCACATTCATCTTCACTTTCTCCCTCTCTGCTGGCTATTCCATTAATGTCCTCAAATATGCCCATGTGTTCCCCATTTAAAAAAAAACATACTCACTTTACCTGCCCATGCCCACTAGCTATTGTCTTTTGTCTCTCCTCCTTTTATAGGCAGCCACCTTGAGAAGAGTATAATAGCTGCCTTCAATTCCTTTCTTCTCTCTGTTTTCTGAAACTCTGCAGTCAGGCTTCTCATTTCATCATTCAACTGATACTATTCTCTCTAAAGTTATTAACAATCTCATAATTGCCAAGTCTAACCTTTTCTCATTACTCATCATCTTTGATCTATCTGCAGCCTCTGAGACTGTCAGTTAACCTCTTCTCCATGACTACTGGCTTCTGTCTAGGTTTTCATGACACTGATCACTCCAGGTTCTCCTCCTGCCTTGTACTAACCATGACAGTCCCCCAAAGCTCTGCTCTGGCCACTTTTCTGTCCTCTCTATGTACATTTGGCTTGCTGATTTCATTATATCCCATTGTTTCATTTATCATTTCTATTCAGATGACTCTCAGGTCAGCTTGATCGGCCCTAACCTCTCTCCCAACCTCCAGGTCACATTTCTAACAGCTTTCAAGCATCTCAATCTGGTTATAACAGATGTACTGAGTATAGACATATCAAACTTAATATTGCCAAAAATAAAATTATTATCTCCTTTCTCCCCTCTGAAAACTCTCTCCTTTTCATAAGTTCCCTAATATTATTGAAGGTACTGCCCTTCCCAGTCATCAGGTTCACAACCCAAATGTCATCCTTGATTTCTCACTCTCTCTAATACCTTGCATACCATATCCATCAAATCTTTTCATTTCTATCTTTATAACATCTGGCAAAAACTCCCCTCTTCTCTCCTGTGATGCTGCAGCCATCCTAATGTATGCTCTCAGCAATTCATATTTGGACAGTTACAATCACTTGTTGGTTGGTCTGTCTACCTCAAATCACAACACTCCAATCCATTTTCTGTATAGCTGTCAAAGGGCTCTTCCAAAGATGCAAATCTGATGGTATCAATACCCTATTTAATTAACTACAATGGCTCTCTATTACTTCTAGGATTAAATATAGAATACCCTGTTGAACTTTCCAAGCCCTGCATGATCTGGCCCCTTCCTCCTTTTCCAGTTTTCTTATACCTTACTACTCTCCCCTGTAACCCAGTGACACTGGTCTTCTTGCTGTTCCTCAAAATCACACTCTATCTCCTGACTCTTAGCATTTCCCTTGGCTGTCCCCCATGCTTGCAAAATTTTTCCCTCCACCTCTTTACCTCCATGCATCATGGGGTCCCTTTAAGTCCTAGGTAAAGTTATATTATGCATAGGAAGATTTTCCCAGTCCTTCTAAATTTTGATGACTTCCCACTGAAATTACTCCAGTTTATTCTAATATGTACCTTGTTCATACATAATTTTTTTTGCATGTTTTCTCCCTTATTACACTATAAGTTCTTTCAGAGCAGGATCTGTTTTTTCCCCTTCTCTTTGTATCTTTATTTAGCATAGTACCTGACAAATAGTAGGTGCTTAATATTAACTGAAAAATTCATTTTAAAATTTTATTTTCTTTTAATTATTTTTTAATTTATTTTGTCAAATATTTCCCAATTTCATGTAAAAATTTTAACACAATTTAAAAAAAAATGTTAGATCTAAATTCTTTCTCTCCTGCCTCTCTCCCTCCTTTGAGATGGCAATTTTATATCAACTATATATGTGAAATCATGCAAAATATATTTCATGTTAACTGTGTTTCAAAAGAAAACACAAGAAAAATAAAACAAAAGCAAAGAAAGTTTAAAAAAAACCATGCTTCTATATGTTCAGAGTTCAGCAGTTCTCTTTGTTTAGGTTAATGATGGCTCCATTAGCATTGTCTTAGAGTATGGTCTTGATCAGTGTATCTAAGTCTTTCTTGGTTGATCATCCTTACAATATTGTTAACTGTTTATAGTTTTCTCCCAGCTCTGCTCACTTAACTTTGTATGAGTTTATGTAAGTCTTTTCAGGTTTTTCTGAGACTTGTCTGCTCATCATTTCTTATAGCACAATAGTGTTCCCTCACAATCATTATACCACAGCTCATTCAGCCATTCCCTAGGTTATGGTAGTACTGTCAATTTCTAATTTTTTGTCACCACATAAACATTTGCTATAAATATGTTTTTGCACAAGCAGATCACTTTCTTTTTTTTCTTTGATCTATTTGGGAACCAGATTTAGTAGGCATTGCTGGGTTAAAGGATGTGCAAAGTTTTATAGCCCTTTGGACCTAGTCCCACATTATTTTCCAGAATGGTTGGACTAGTTCACGACTCCACCAGCAGTGAATTAGTGTCCCAATTTTTCCATATCCCCTTTTTCCTTTTGTGTCATGCTAGCCAATTTAATAGGTGTGAGATGGTATCTCAGAGTTACATTAATTGGAATTTCTCTAATAAGTAATGATTTAGAGAGTTTTTATGTGACTATTGATAACTTTGATAACTTTGATAACTTTGATTTCTTCTTCTGAAAACTGCCTGTTCATATCCTTTGACCAGCTACCAACTGGAGAATGGATCTTATTTTTATGAATTTATCTCAGTTATCTATACATTTAAGAAATGACATCTTTTCCAGAGAAACTTGTTATAAAATTTCCCCCACCCTTTCCTATTTTCCTTTGAATTTTGGCTAAATTAGATTTTTTTGTGCAAAAGCTTTTAAATTTATATAATGAAAATAACCCATTTTAATTCCCATAATGCCTTCTATCTATTCTTTGGTCAAATTTTTTTTCCTTATCCATAGATCTGATTGGTGCATTTTTTTCGATGTTTTCTTTCTTTACTTATGATATCACCATTTCTGCCTAAATCATTAATCCATTTTGACCTGTCAATCAGACGGAGTCAACAGAGGAGGTCAGAGACAGGAGAGTCAGTATTCAAACAGAAGTTTAATTTCAAAGAGAGGAAATGGCTTGCAAACAAAGTCACATGTACAGGAGATCCAGACCCCCCCCTCCCCAAAGTGTGTGTGTTGGGACCCTGCCCTACTGTGTCTAGGCTGGGCTTGTTGGTGCTTGCCCAAGCTCAGGAAAGGTGAGAGCAAAGGATTGTTTCTATGCCAAGTACTGTGCACAGTTTGCTTGCTGGGTCTTAGCTCCAGGAAAAAAAAGGGGGTGTCTCTTAATATCTTGACAGACCTTATCTTGTTATACAGTGTGAATTGTTAGTCCATGCCTTGTTTCTGCCAAACTACTTTCCAGTTTCCCCAGCAATTTTTGTCAAATGGTGAATTCTTATCCCCAAA